CTTCAGTTATCAAGCTCCTCTTTTGTGGAACCAGCTTCCACTTTCAGTCCGGGGGGCAGATTCGGTCAGCTCTTTTAAGATAAAGCTTAAAACTTTCCTCTTTGATTTTGCTTATAGTTAGGGCTGGCTCAGGTTAGCCCAGACAAGCCCTTAGTTAAACTGCTATAGGCTTAGCCTGCCGGGGGACTTCTTGGGACACACCAAGCTCCTCTCTCACGCTCTCTTTCTACAATAATCCATGTTTTATTAATGCACATGACTTATTCAGCTTCTTTCTGGGAGTTTTTTGTCCTTTTTCCCCTAGCATGTCTCCGTAGATCGTAGTTCCTTCTGGACCCTGGTCCTGACACCTGCCGTGGCCATGCTGACACCTGCTGCTGCCATCATCATCATTATTATTTTAAATTTTAATCATATTACTGTAATCATAAACCAACATTACCCTCTCCTAAAGTATTTGTGCTCTCCCTCCCGACAGGCTTCTGTGGATGGGGGTTCTATCTCATGGTGGTGGTCCCTGCAGTGGTCCTGCCGTGCGCCTGGCTTGCAACTCGCAATTATTTGAATCATTTCTGTCATAGGAATTAAATATATTATACATCTTTTACATTTCTGTCCTGTACACATGACATCTATTGTAGTCTGTCCATGCCAGGAGTGGGATCCGTCCTCTGACGTTCTCCCTAAGGTTTCTTCCCTTTTTTAATTTTTTGGGGAGTTTTTCTTGTGCCGATGTGTGGGTTTCGGGACAGAGGATGTCGCATGTGTACAGACTGTAAAGCCCTCTGACCCAAATTTGTAATTTGCGATTTTGGCTATACAAAATAAAATTAATTGGCTGATTGTCTGAGTATTGCCTTTAGTGAAGCCGTTTCAACAGTGCTGCTTCCCTCTGGAAGACTTTTTACAATTTTTGAATTTTCAGAGTCAGTTAGATCACTTTTTTGGCCCATTTGGCATGAGGAAACGAAGCTGACTATTAATTATGCACACATTGGTATAGGGTGTTGATCTCCTGAGGCCACACCTTCCCTCATTACACAAATGCACATCACCTGATATTTTATATCCAATTAGCACTTAGCTTGGAGTTGGGAAATATGCATACAAATGATGATATGGTCAAATACTCACTTGCCTAATAATTGTTCACACAGTGAATATCATGCAGGTTAAAAAAATTAAAAAGGCTCACTGCACAAATGGAAAAGTTTCACGTTGGCCTTAAATCAAGAGCACTTTCAGGATGATTATGCCTTTGGAATTAAAATAGTATGACACATTTTTTAGATTGTTTTAGTAGAGACAGTTTAGGCAAGATCTCCAGAATTCTGTTCAATACATCCTGATACATATGTGTTTTTGATTTGTCCTGATTTGATTCCTCTGGGCTTGCCTCCCAAGAGGAGAAATAATTGACAAATAATTTAATTACTCATTTTTTTCCAAAACGGGGGGCACGGTGGTGTGGTTAGCACTGTCGCACTGTGTACCCCGTCTCTCGCCCGAAGTTGGCTGGCATAGAATCCAGCCCCCCCATGACCCTGTGTGCAGGATAAGCGGTTTGACGATGGATGGATGGATGTGACAGATTGGACTTTTAAATTAAGCAGAGTAGCAAACATTTTGTTGAGTAAACATCTACCTATTGGAAAGTTTAGCGGGGAAAGGCACGGACGGTCATGTTTCGGGAAGGTAGCTGACCTGATCCTCCCCAATCACACCAAAGTGACAGGGACTTAAAGGCCATTGCAATGCTTCAATGATCTCTATCACTCTTTCTGCACAATTGTAAAACACACACACAAACTCACAAATGCAAATTATCATTAGTGAATAGACTTATCTCAGAGATACTAAATAATGTACCTGGAGTAACTGAGGATTTGCGGTAAACTGCCCCTTCAACACACTGTTATAAGATAGTATAACTCTTTTAGATATTAATACCAGGTCCTCCTCATTCATGTTTTCCTAAGATTCAACATGACCAGCGAGTCTCTTTGTAGCGGAAAATAGGATTTTCCATTTCACACAGTTTAGTCAAATTAAACATGAATCCCAACACGATGTTCAGGTTACAAGTGTTTTGCAATTAACTGGAACAGAAAGCAGTGAGTGCCAGCAGCTCTTAAAAATGATCTGTTCAACAGTGTTTCATCAGTTGTTATACTAACATGACTTTTCCAAGAGAATTTAATTGTGTAATAAATAGTAAATAAATATTTACTACAAATATCACACAAATGTAATGCACATGCTCATATGTAAAAATCACAAGTAAGTAGAGAAGAAAATCAATTTTTTTTGTTAATTCTCCACGCACGGCAGTCCCACACTGACACAAATGTGTCCATTCACTTTCTGGAGAAGTAAATACACTAAATGAATCCCTCTCAGACACAATTGACGTATGAGCCAGAAAATCTGATTTATTAGGAAAAGCCTGAATTAGCTGAACTGAAACGAATGTTGTTGGTACTTGTAAATGTCTGATTTAAATTGCAATTCTCCTACACAATATTCTATTCATGTGTTAACAAGGTCCGTTCTGCTTTTATTTTGAAAAGCACCATTTTCTTCTTCTTATGTTTTTTGTGACGCTAACTTCCTGCTACTTACCATTTACAACGTGGAAGTCACGCATTGTCGAAGCAAGGGTAAAACTTGTAAACATATTAGTTATGTATCGTGTTAAATACATTCGAATGATGTAAAGAACGAGTTTAAATCGTAATTTATTTATTATTTTGTATGGTTCGTACCTGTTACGTCCCCAGAAATCTGGGTTCGTATAATGATTCCAATTTGGGGATTACTTGTAGTTGCGTGTGTGTGTGTGCGTGTGTTTTTTCCAGATAGGATTGGGACCCGGAGCTACACCCCCCTCGTCAGTGGTTGCAGCTGGCTGGGCTCTTTAAAAAGCTCAGTTTTGGACCAGTTCGGGCGCTGCATGCTCGCTGCATATTCCCATATGTTGCCTTTGGTTTGTACCCTGTGTGAGGAGATATTCAGTTGTGATTAGTGTTAGATAACTTGTGTTCCTTTTGGAAACGTGTAGAAGCAGAAGGGAGCAATTGTTTGTTTGGGTCATTTGACTAATTATGTTTTCTCTTTTGTTCACAGGGAGTGGGGAGTAGATTTAGAGCTACCCCGGGGTATACATCACCCGCAGGTTTACTTCTCTGTCTAGAAACACCAGTTTAGACCTGAGCGGACCACCACCTGTAAGTTTGGTTAGGGCGCCTTGACCGTGTGCCAGGTAGAGTGTCTTGAATTGGGGGTTATTACAGGTTAGGGGTGGGGACCTTTTTGTTAATTTTCTTTGTTTTGGTCCGGCCAGCCCTCCCCTTTTCCCAGAAAGTTATTGTTTATTTATGTGTATTTATTTTGTTAGATAAAAGCGTTATACTGTCTTTGGTGTTTGTCCTTCTCTCGCACCGCGAATTGTAAGAATACGTGTTCAAGAATTGGAGCCTGGTGGGGGTTATCAAAAATTCAGCCGAACGACTTCTCTCGTTCTGGGAAATGTATTTGTCAGATCACAGGTCAAGTATCAGCGCTGCGTTTGCAAAGGCAGGAGCAGTTCAGGCAGCACACAGGCCGGAAGAACAACTAACTAACATCAGCAAGAACATCATGTTTTATAACCCTTGAAAGACAGAGAAGGAAAGATTTCTATTGGCCCTAAACTGGCGTAGAGGAGGACCTTCCACCTCCCGCATCTAAAGATCCGGTCACATCCAATGTCCAGACTCCTGACTTAACGTAAACATCAGTGAACAGAGTGTGTATGTTGAATAGTGTTGGTGTGTCTCTAACCCCCCTTTGGCTGGTAAATCTGCTAGTTGACCCGCAGACCTTGCATTCCTCAGCCAGGACAGAAACTGACTCCCCATCCTGTCAGACTCGTGTCTGCCTGCTTGGCACATCCTGCTTCCCCCCTTACCTAACTCTTAAATCAAGACAAGACAGCAAACCCCCAACTAAGCCCATGAAAAGAACTTTTGATTATCAGACTCCATACCCCTTTTGCTGGCACCGGTGGGCCAGAGCAGTGGGTTGTCATGTTCCCCTCCCTTTTGGGAGCTGGAACGTAACAGTACCTGTCATTTGAAAAAGCTCCTAATTATGAGGGTGTGCCGAGATGCTAGCTGGTGGAGGAAATTCCTTTGATTAGCGCCGTTGGAGAGCGGATTGAGGTATGAAGGATGCATGTGATGTTTTATTTGTCATAGCGTTTTAAACATATTTCATTTCACTTTGGCTAGTATTTCAAATGATTTGTATCGAGTGTAAACATTATTTTGTATAAGTTAATTGTTGAAACTACATAGAAGCATTGTGTATTTCTTCTGTTTCATTCTGTAGTTTTCACGGTGTTCAAGATGTTCACAACGTCATGGTGCTCATGGTGCTCGTCTATTTATAACAAAATAAATCAACACCTGTTTGAAACTCTCTGCGTCTTGATCAATCAATCCGAGGGGCCGCTACAGTACTTCATAGATTAATTTGTTCAGAAGACGGTAACTGCTGGGAACAAAAGGCGCAGAGTCGGAGCTCAGCCGCGCCTCTAGAAGCGAGTCTCTGCTGCTCATTGGTGGAAAATTACTTCAAATTGTCCACCAAATCTTAGAGCTCTCGCCCTCTGTTCTCGTGTCTGGAGCCTCTTCTCTGGTTGGTGCGCACGTCAGGAACCTCCCCGCCCATTCCGCGGACATATAACGTAGGGTTGGACGCGTTCAGCGACACTTCCTTTCCTCAACAGTCTAACAATGAGCGGCAGAGGTAAAACCGGTGGAAAGGCCCGAGCGAAGGACAAGACAAGCTCCTCCTGAGCTGGGCTCCAGTTCCCAGTCAGTTGCGTTCACAGACATCTGCGTAAAGGGAACTATGCGCAGCGTGTCGGCGCAGGAGCCCCTGTCTACCTGCCGGCCGTGCTGGAGTACCTGACCGCTGATGTGTCACGTCTTGACACATCAAGAATTGAAGTGTGTATATGTAATTATCAACAGGATGCCCTGTGATTGTGAATGATTTGTGTGACGGTAGATGATTTCAGTGCACACAATGATTCTTACAACATGCTCGAGCAACCGCACAGTGAAATTTGCATCTCGTTCATATATGGACGCCGTTCTGTTCAGATCGGGACATTGTCAGTCTACGAAAGGGACTTGAATCATGCCTGAGGTTGTGAAAGTGCCCAAGAAGGGCTCCAAGGAAGCCGTCTCCAAGACCGTCAGCAAGAGCGGCAAGAAGAAGAGGAAGACCAGGAAGGAGAGCTACGCCATCTACGTGTACAAAGTGTTGAAGCAGGTCCACCCCGACACCGGCATCTCCTCCAAGGCCATGGGCATCATGAACTCGTTCGTGAGCGACATCTTTGAGCGCATCGCCGGTGAAGCCTCTCGTCTGGCTCACTACAACAAGCGCTCCACCATCACCTCCAGGGAGATACAGACCGCTGTGCGCCTGCTGCTGCCCGGCGAGCTGGCAAAACACGCCGTGTCTGAGGGAACCAAGGCCGTGACCAAGTACACCAGCTCCAAGTAAACCTGATGTAGACCACCAACACAAAGGCTCTTTTAAGAGCCACCCACTTCTTCTAAAGACAATTACCTTATGCCTTATATTTCAAAACTTTCTTGAAGGCTTTTAAGATTTTAAGAATTTTTGTGTAATAAGTTAATTCAGCATATAAGTGGTGGACTCAAATCCAACATCTGACGTTTTATATAAACTAGTATATACTACCAAGATCAACTGTCAACTTTTTTTTCTGTTAGCAGCATTATGTTCATTAATTGGTTAAACACTGATTGATGGTAGCATGAGATAGGTAATCTAGGTTTAGATAAGGCCGTGACTGTTAATAGTCAAAAGATGTGAATAAATGGTAGATTCCAAGTTTTTGGCTTCATTTTGTTCATGTGAAACATGTTTCCTCCACACAATTGAGGGGATTTTTAACTATTTGTGCCTTATCTGCTCCATGTTTAAATAGCTACACACTTAGTCTACAAACTATTTCCTGATGTGTTCATTTTTAAAATGGTACAGTATTTATAATGATCATAATTCCATCTGTTATACATGTTGTTTAATGGAAATGTACTAATTGTTTCATGATTGCTTATCAATTTAAAGCAGAAACTGCCTTGTTGCCTGATATGCATCCCTGGTTTGTTTGCTAACAGGAGTACCAAAAATACACCATTCATAATAGTCACTATTGTGTATTGAGGAAAAATGTGTATATCGTCCAACTTGTTTCAAGGGAATCTATAAATATAGGTGAATCTGTTAAATTAAACAGGGGGAAAGGAGAAGCTAGAAGGGGACCTCAGAAAGGGCAGGAAGGCAAGGTTGAAATGGAAACACTTCTTTGACTGGATTGCAAAAGTTGGGGCTAGATTGTGTGTGTGAGGAAAAGCTCTTTAAGGAAGGAGTGGGTGGCTCTTAAAAGAGTGTTTGTCACACAGATATCAGTTTACTTCTTCGTGGGTGCTGCTTTCTTGTCTTTGGGCTTAGCGACCTTCTTCGCTGGGGCTTTCTTGGCTGCAGGGGCCTTTTTCACCACCTTCTTGGGGCTCTTTGCCACCTTCTTGGCCGCTACGGGTTTCTTGGCCTTCTTTGGTGACTTCTCAGCGGCTACAACTTTCTTCACTGCCGCTGCTTTGGGCTTTTTGGCCGCTGCGGGTTTCTTCGCTGCGGGTTTCTTGGCTTTAGGAGCGGCTTTCTTTGCCAGTTCGTCTGCGGTCGTCTTGCTCATCTTGAAGGAGCCGGAGGCCCCGATCCCCTTGATCTGGACCAGAGTCCCCTTGGCCATCAGGCTCTTGATGGCGGTCTTGACGCGGGCCTTGTTCTTGTCCACATCGTATCCTCCGGCGGTCAGAGCCTTCTTGTCGGCGGCAGCAGACACGCCGCTCCGCTCCTTGGATGCGGCCACAGTTTTCACGACGAGGTCACGCTGGGACCGACCTTCTTCGGCTTGGACACCTTCTTCTTGGCTGCTTTGGGCGCGGCGGCGGCTGGACCTACTTCTGCCATGTTGTCACGCGTTTGTATCGTCGAGTGTGAGACTGATGAAGAGCTCAAAGGAGCGGACTGCACTTAAACACACCATGAGAACCGTAGAGACTCAACCCAGCCCGGAGCTCCTCATGCAGTCTGAAAGTCGAGTCACTTGTGTTTTCTCTCCACTGATTAAAGACTAAAAACTAAATGTGCATCGAGTTGAGAAGGCTGAAGCTGGAGAAGCCGATAGCGGACTAGTTTCTCTTCATGTTCAGGTCATGTAGAGCTCTGATGATCGATGCGCATTATATGAGGAGCCTTCAAACCTCACCTACTCAGCGCCGTGGACAGCACTGATCAGCTGCTTTTCCCACTCATTTATTTCTTATAAGTATTTAAAATATATCAATTCTCCCTCAAAAGTGGGTTTCCAAACTATCCACATGTTGGTTCAGGGTGTCAACGTAAAACAACCAACAGATGTTGATCACTATTTAATAAACTGGAGTTTTTGTGGAAGCAGCAAACACACTGATGGTGGTTACAGTTCAATCAGACCTCCCATCAGAGCTGCTCACTGTGGACATGTCTTATGCAAATAGTACGTTTTACTATACATAGTTACAACTTTTAATCATCAAATATACTGACCCACTAATGTTAGTTTTTTGGGAAGCTTTTATATTCATATAGGACTATTATTGTAAAACATTATTTCTGGTGTGCTGATGAATTCTATCAGCACAGATGCAGATACATTTAGGTGAACATAACACATGTAATCATTACTATCACTATCATTAAGTTATGAATGAAAGTATTTCTATGCCAACATTCAAAGGAGCTGCTCACTGTGGTCATGTCTTCTGCTAATAAGTTTTATTATAAATAGTCTCTGTTATGACTGGGGTCATCCCGGACGAGCCCCCATGGGCAACGGCGAAGCCGTGCGTTTTTCTACCCCAACATACCTGGTTTACTCAACCTAGCTCTTTTGTTCAATAAATATCCCCTATATAACGCAAAGTGTGTGTGGCTACTTGGGAGACGGGGAAGATTGGGAACTATCCATGTTGCACCTTAGGCACCCCTAGACTGGGGCGTAACATGAATTGGGGGCTCGTCCGTCTTCTTATCTCGCCTCGTTTTCCGTGTTGTTCTGTGGAAGATTTTTTGTCTGGTTGGCAGTGATTTGGTGTGTGGGGGGAATTATGGAGTTTTCACTGGATGAGTTTGTGGCTGGTCCATCTTTTGCTAAAATCGAAAAATGTAAGAAAAAGGACCTTTTGATGGTGGCAAATTGTTATAATGTGCAGGTGTCCTACAGTGCCAATAAGGCGGAGATCAAACGGTTGCTGTGTGCAGAGTTGGTGGAGCAGGGCGTCATACCTGAACCAGCTACTGATGTTGCTGTTGCGGGCGACTCACCGATGGCAGACGTGAAAGCGGCGGGGGCTGCTGGCATGCTCGCTACGGGTGTACGGGTGCCGGTCTTAGATCCTGTCATGGGTAACATGACCACAGAGGATCTCCGCATAGCCCTCCAAATAAAGGAGGTAGAGACCAAAAACAGACAGCTAGAGGTGCAAGCAATGCATCTGCGCATCAGGGCTCTCGAACTGCAAAAGGGAGCCCCTGTAGTCTCCACCCCGATGTCTCCTCTTGACCGCAGTGCTATTTCTACTCCGGCTTTTGACATTAGTAGGCACATTGCTTTAGTCCCTCCGTTTCGTGAGTCAGAGGTTGACTCATATTTTAGCGCTTTTGAGCGGATAGCTGCTGCCCTGAGTTGGCCCAAAGAGTTCTGGTCCCTTCTCCTCCAGTGTAAATTAGTGGGGAAAGCTCAAGAAGTCTGTGCCAGTCTGTCTATTGAGGATAGTCTTGACTATAAAATACTGAAAAAGACAGTGTTACAGGCCTACGAGCTGGTCCCGGAAGCATACAGACAAAAATTTAGGAATAGTGATAAAACTGCTAACCAGACATATGTTGAGTTTGTGCGTGACAAGAGCATTCTGTTTGAAAAATGGTGCCAGGCGTGTAATGTTAAAAACATGGCGGAAATCAGAGAGCTCATTTTGCTCGAGGAATTCAAAAAGTGTTTGTCGGAACGAATTGTGGTCTATTTGAACGAACAAAAAGAATCATCTGTAACGAAAGCGGCTGTTCTGTCTGATGAGTTCATTCTAACTCATAAAAGTGTTTTTTCTATGCCGTGCCTCGTGTTTCTCAAGTAATGCCTGAGCACAGAGTTCGGTCGCCAAAGATGATGTGTAAAAGCGCCTCACCAACAGCGGGTGAGAGCCGCGAGTGTTTCTATTGCCATGAGCCAGGCCATTTGATCGCGGTTTGTTCGACTCTTAGAAAAAAGGACCACACAAAGGTACTAAACTTCCTGCCGGTGTGGGTTTCATAAATACCATGTCCCCACCGGTAAAACATACTGAGCTGTTACCTGAAGAAAAATATGCGGAGGTTGACCCTCGTTTCAAGCCGTTCGTATCTCACGGGTTTGTTTCTTTAACTGGCGAGGAATCGGAAAAAGTGCCGGTAACTATTCTTCGAGATACAGCCGCCTATCATTCATTCATGCTGGCTAATGTGCTGCTGCTCTCCAACGAAACGTTGTGTTCTGATTTGCTAGTGTGGGGAATCAAAATGAGTGAACTTCATGCCCCACTGCACATGATACTCGGGTGCCGGCTCCTCTGCACCCGATCCCGGTGCTTGGTGAGCCGTTTGAACGAGTGTTGATAGATTGTGTGGGGTCGTTACCCAGAACTAAATCTGGACATCAGTATATTCTAACGGTGATGTGCGATTCCCCTGCGCACTCTCAGAGCAAAACCAGTCGTGAAAGCTCTCACTAAATTCTTTTCAACGTTAGGCTTGCCTAAAACTATCCAGAGTGACCAGGGCACGAATTTCATGTCCAAATGGTTCGCACAGGTAATGAGAGAGCTAAAAGTTAAACATGTAACATCAAGTCCTTACCATCCGGAGTCTCAAGGCGCACTTGAGAGGTTCCACCAAACCCTAAAATCTATGTTGCGTAAGTATTGTCTTGAGTCTAACCGAGAGTGGGATGAAGGCCTCCCTCTCCTGTTATTTGCCGTGCGTGAAACTCCTCAGGAGTCTTTGGGGTTCAGTCCTTGTGATTTGGTCTTCGGCTATACTGTCCCCTTCGGCTACTACGAAACGTTATTTTTCCAGAGTGAGTGAATCCCCGCTGTCTCTTGCTGCGCCCGTGATGTCCGTGTCCGCTACTCCTCCTCAGTACCACCTAGCCGATGATGGGTTGGCAGAGAAAAGTGGTTTGATGCCAGCCTCGCGTTTGAGAAATTCAGAGGTACTGAGTAACTTGGAGGGTTTTTTGTCCCATCTGTCTGACTCAGCTCTTGCAGATGTTAGGGATTTGATAGAAGATAACCTGTTGCTTTTCTCTGACCATCCTAGGCAAACGTCTGTCCTGTTCCATGACATTGACGTAGAGGGTCACAAACCCATTAAGCAACATGCGTATCGCGTAAATCCGGCCAAAAGGGCTATGATGCAGCAGGAGGTGAGCTATCTGGTTGAGCATGGATTAGCTGTTCCCAGTACTAGTGCGTGGAGCTCACCCTGTGTCTTGGTTCCTTGGAAATTTCAGCTTTCGTCACACCCGATACTTTCCTCCCGTACACTGTTATGCCATTCGGGCCCCGTACTGCACCCGCTACTTTCCAACGGTTGATGCGTATCGTGTTATCTGGTGTAGAAAATTGCGAGGCTTACTTAGATAATGTCGTTGCTTACTCCTCCACCTGGGCCGACCATCTCCACACATTGTCCCTCATTT